GACTGAAGCAGTAGCAGAGCTGAAGCAGCGTTCTCCCCACCCTTTCTCCCGATGACTCTCTCCTACCCTGACTCCTTGCTACAAGCGCAGCTTAATTACAGCCACCATAGCACTTCTTACTTAGCTCCCAAACACAGATTGTTCCACCATCCCCTCCCAACAGATGCTTTTCTCTGCTTCAGGCACTCCCTATCATTACATACACACCGAGCAAGAGTGAGGGCTGGAGCCAGATGAGCTGCTGCTGACTTTGTACCAGAGTGCATCAGAGAACTACCGTGTGCATCCTGTACGACCCAGCCTCCTGATCCAGTAAAACAGCACAGGCATGGAAAGGCAGTGAACTTTTGGGGCAGATATTTTTACAGTGCTTAAAGGGAGCATTTTTGGCCTGTAAGCATTTGAGGAAAGATCAAAAATCATCACAAATTCTTTTCTGTAAAAACAGCAGGATAAAGCAGGAAAGACAGGCACAAGCTAAATAAAAACTAAAGATAAAACTAAGATTTTTCACATCCTGGAGAAGCCACCAGTCAAACAAGAGGTACAACACTGCGCTCTAAATGCCTTTCATTAACTTACTGGGAAGGAAGGTGGAAAGCAAGAGTTCTCAGGTAAGAAAAGCAACAGCCACCTCTATGACAATGTACAAAACTTAGTTCCTCATCAAACATTTGGTAATTCTCCCCTTTTAAACAGCTGTTGTGAGAGACCATGGGACTAGAGTGGTCATAACCTAAAAGATTACACTAATTCCTATTTTTGCCCAGCCTTGGAGCACCTTCTGCACAAACTGTTAGATCCAGACAGCTCATAAATAGCAACTACTCATCTACCTTAAACCATGTTCTTGGGTATTGCCATGTTCTACCGATTTTATTATAATAAAGGGCAAAAATAGGACGACACTAGAAACATCAAAAGGCCTTGAAAGTGCTGAAGGAGACACACAGACATTTTACTCTCAGACATGTTATGGTTACACGAATACTTCCCAAGTGCCATAGTTAAATAAAAACATATTCATACAAATTTAAAAAAAATACAGTTTATATACACTGTGGAATTAGCTTACATCATTTCATAACAAAAAAAAACAGTGCAAAAAACAAATGGAAAGGTAAGTTGCTACCATTGGAATGGCTCACAGTAAGTTAACAATTCAAAATTAACACTGCACAGGAAACCGTAAGGCAGGGGAGAATGCCCCATACTACCCCCTAACTTCTGCCATCAACACTAATCCAGTTCTTAGCTACTATTCCTTTAGTGTTGCTTTGAGTAAAAGGTTACGGGCAACTAATTTTAGAAGTAAGTTTCTTGGTAAATCACTAGAAGCAGTTAGTGTGTTGTAAGAAAGGAATGAAGTGACTGAAGTGTGAGAACAAGACATCCAACACGAGCCCCTTTGCATCAGTCCTCGGCAGAAGGGAAACGCTGCATCTCCAAATAACACATGAACTTGTAATTCCCTTTCCGCAGGCTGCGTAACAGTGATTGCACACTAAGATTTCCCTTTAAGGCAAATGACAGGGTCACCCGCCATCCTCATTCTCTACTGAAGGAGTGAAAGGGGTGTGTTTTCCAGCTGAGACAGACTGCACAGGCAGAGCAGACAGTGCTTACAGCAGGCTGAAGGCAAGTGGCCTTCTCACGGGGAAGCGCAGCTGGTGCTCAGACGAACCTGGACAAGATTTCTCACCCTGTCTTGTCTGGATTGCCTAACTCCAGGCTGGAGTAGCAATGACAAGACATCTTGCAGCAACATATACTGCTGCAGTTTGTGCACAGAAATAAAACACAACATGACCAGCTCAAGGCAAATGATCCAAGAAGCCCTACTCGGGTGCAGGAAAAGAAGGAACCTTCCACACACAATCACTCAACATGACCAAAAGAAAGATTTGTCATGGAGAGACACAGGGCTCTGGTAGTATGGGACTGCTAATTCCACATCAGAGTAACCTGAAATCCCATCAAAACAGGATTTCTGTGATGTGTAACTGCCCAGGAGCACAAATCCCTCGAATGAAAGGTACGTTAACAGAAGCATATTTCAGACCTACAGTCCAGCTTCAGGGAGTGCAAAACCGTGTTGGAAGTTTCTTGGGATAGCTCAGTGCAAGACCAGAGCTCAGGGAACACCGACATTTTAGAAACCATCTGCAGAGGCTATCCAGAGAGAACAAACATCCTCAGCCTACTTACAGGGAAACAACTTGCAAAACAAGAGTGGCAGCCAGTGCCAACTTACATGCTCTAAGGAACGTGCCACACATGTCCCAGCCAAGCAGTCCAGGTTGAAGGCCGAAGATGGATACTGGCTGCAGGAAAACCCCTTTGCTTTACCCTTGGAAGTTTAAGACCCTGCATGCCTTATGTGAAATGGAGCTAGGATATTCAGAAGCCAGCAAAACTATTTTAGTGGAGGAGACAAAGGGAAAAGAACAAACACATTCCCTGCTTTGTAGATAGGTCACTTCCCAAGCAGCCCTGGAGAGTGGTCAGTTAACAAAGGATGCTGGGACACACAGAGCATCCTTTGCAACAACTGGAAGTTTAAGACCCTGCATGCCTTATGTGAAATGGAGCTAGGATATTCAGAAGCCAGCAAAACTATTTTAGTGGAGGAGACAAAGGGAAAAGAACAAACACATTCCCTGCTTTGTAGATAGGTCACTTCCCAAGCAGCCCTGGAGAGTGGTCAGTTAACAAAGGATGCTGGGACACACAGAGCATCCTTTGCAACAACTGTCGTTGCACTTCTTTCCTTTTGTGGAAATGGTATTCTTGAAAACGAAGATTCCTCTCTCTTAATATGGCAGCAGGTGGGAAAGAAAACCAACTTCCCAGCTGAGCCATGCCATGCACTGTTTGACAAGGACCAGTTCTACCCTAAAACTTGGCCTTAGGAACCACTTGTAAGACCAAGGTTTCTCCCATCTACTGGATAAAATTCAAAATTCATGACTCAGCTGTCTTTATTTCAAGCACAACCAGAGAATACATCTGTCCACCAACTATCTGGCCAGCAAAGACTCCATGAACACCTAAGAGTTCCAGTGCCTTCAAGAGCCCTACATTAAGACCGTGGCTGGTGCCCTGCACACAAAACCTCCTCCCAACCCTAATTGTAGTTGGGCTCAGCAGCCAGCCCTTTGCAGAACAGTGCCCTGGAACAACCATCTTTCACAAAGTCAAAGAGGCTGCTTTAACAGATTGAGTGTTTCGAAACATGTAAGGGAAGGGTGTAACTTCTTCAGGCTGGTCAGGAACAGCTTCAGCACAGATGAGTTCCTGAATTCAGAAAATACAGCAGCGTCTGATTTCCTTCTGCCACAACTCTCATCCAGCCAGCTCCTCATGGCAGACAACAGGTTAATCGGAGTGCTCAGAGGCTGTGTAGAGGCTTTTCTGGGATGCATTCCCCACACTACTTGGCCCAGCCTCCTGGCTGAGAGAATGCTCTGTGCTTTATCAAGCCAATCAGCTCTGCAGCCCCTGAAGGCACAACGCTGGCTTCCCACTGAGGGTTATCTGTATGCAAAACTCAGGAAGGCAGGTGCCTGCTGGAACAATACAGGTGCTGGCCAGGATGGTACCTGCTAAAGCTGTGAACTGGCTGCAACTGGCTTCTAAATGCTGATTTTACCCTTACAGATATTCGGCTGTTGAAGCTACAATCATTTTCCCAAGCATTTTTAGAGTACAGACAGCCCCACTTATCACCCTGCAGCAGATCCTGCCTCTTAGTCACCAGCACCAGGTATTCCTCCTGTACGGAGCCTGAAGTTAGAGCAGCTCCTCTCATGACACAGAGATAACTCAACCAAGCCCAGAGACAGGGTATCGGTTCTGTTTGCTGGCAGAAAGCAACACTTCACCATGCTCTGAGGACACAGGGTTCCCTGCTCTCTAAGCTCGGCTGGAAAGGGGTCCCAGGCTCTCGTGTTCAAGGACAAAGTGCCTACCAAGGCCAAGAAATACAGGAGTGTCAGGGTAGTGACAAAGTGGAGTGCCACAAAGTACCCTAGAAGAGTCTCTTACAGGGAGATAATAGAAACAGCTAAGAGGGAAAGGAGATCTCCCTTCCCCGAGATGCTTTGCAAATGTATTAAATCTTTATATTCCCAAACAGTAATTGGAATTGGACTGTGTTGAACTCCCGATCTGCTAAGCTGCTCTCAAAAGTCAGTGGCTGTCAAAAACATCGCAGCAGGGATGCTTCCCCATGAAAGAAGGAGAGAAATTAGGAACAAATGAAGGCAGAGTGGAAAAACATAGGCAACTAGGAGCACCCATGGAGAAGTGCATTTCCAAAGAGCTAGATTTTTTAATGCTCCTTTTGAGAAAAGCTATCCTCCAGAGCAGCTATATACTGCAAACTTCAGTATCTCCTCTGAGCCTTGACAGTGCCTCCTTCCCACACAAATAAGGCAACAGTTGGAGGAACAAGGGAGGAAAAGGGAGACATACAGGAGGGCAGGGAAAAGATGCTGCAGTTCTCTGCAAAGGACACAGTGGAGCTAGACAGTTCTTTTTTCCAACTATTAAAAAATCCCAAACCAACCCAAAATATCAGAACATACAGGGTCAGAACAACAGCTGATGAAAGGAGGTAACTAGGGCACAGGAAAGAAAAAAACCTGGATCAAGAGTGGTCAAACCAAGTGCCTGAGACCAATCAACAGCTCTGGGCTCAGGCAGCTCCTCTAGTTCTCTGGCTAGCAGGATGTTGTCCAGCTCCCCAGGCTTGATATGCATGTGAGAAGCCAAACGGCAAGTCTTGGGCCTTTGGGGTCCAAGCAGAATGCGAGCGCATGTGCAGGCTTGGAAGAGGGAGGTAGCCACACCGACAGTGGGGTGGGGTGGGCAAGGGCATCAAATGGTCTGATAGTGTTGTCTCAGTCTTGCCTGCAGAAATTCGTGGGTCAGGTTGTGCCGAGTGATTATCCCAACAATCTTAAAGAGGAAGAAAAGAGGAAAAAAAGATACAAGTCAGTATCATAGATGTGCCACTAAGTTGCACCTGGTAGAGCTGTTGCTCTTTCCAACCCCCAGAAAGAGGGAACCTACAAAGCACTTCTTGACAAATGCTGAGTTACGAGTTGGTTCAAGTTCAATTCTCACCAAGACAACACCCCTCCCGCTCCCAGCACTTATTTACAGGAAAGACACTGCCCTAATCACACCCAAACAGACAGCTTAACTGTTGCTATCATGTCTGGACACAGCAGGAGTTGCCCCTGCCTAGGAAGGGAAATCCTGCCCACGTTAGACAGCATACAGGTGTACCCAAATCCTTAGGAAGGTGAAAATTGTAATTGGAAATAACAAAGCTGTCCCTTATAGCTTTACTAGAGGTATTTCTGGTATCCCACACGGCATGACTGCAGATAGCTCATATCCAACACATTGTAGGAAGCTCTAAAGACCAAAACAGAGAAATGGTAAAGACTAGCTAAGTGGTGACTGCACACTGGCTGTCACTAGCTGGCAGGTCACAAAAGGGACCCTTTCCCACCCTGCTGAGGAGACACTCAAACCACACATTTTAGCTGATGAAACACCTCAGTAATTTTACACATTAAGAGTTTAGAACTAAGCTGATCTCTAGTACTGCACGAGCATTTTGTACTGAACATGGAAGGAGTAAGCATCCCTTGTTTTCAACCAACAGACTCTGCAGAGTAGCTATTAAGAACCTCAGAAGGCAGAAAACACACTGCTGTCTCCTGCAAAGACCGGTTCAGGCTTACAGGAAACAGTTTCTCATTATGTTTATAGGAAGTTACTGACACCTACTGACTGTCCCTGAGCATTGTAGATGGCAAAGGGACACAGTGAATCAAGCACAAACCATTCAACAACTGTATTTTGCTGCTCTTACATGTAGGAGCAGAATGCAAGTTCCCTTCCAGCAGAAAAACCTCCTGCTCCAACACACAGGAAATTCTGCTCTTGGCCTTGAATAAAGCTGTGACAGAGGAAGCCAACTTAGTGGCCTCTGATGAGTTCAAGGCTTCTCAACAAGTGCAAGACAGTAAGAGCTCCCATACGCTGCCAGCCTGAGACAGGAGAGAGACTGCACGTCCTGCCCTCGGCAGGGAAAGTAGGAAGCAGACTTGGACACAAAAGGTGGTAACAAAGTGACTGTAATCAACAATATTTCAGGGCTTTAAGATCACATTCTGTCCTCTTTAAAGCATGTTAAGATGCTCAAACTCTGTTTGATGTTAAGAGATCTTAATTCTCCCAAAGGTGAAAAGCATTGAGAAAATCACAGTGGCTTCCTTGCTCAACCAAAACAAACAGAGATAAGGACTCACCTCTCCAACTGCATTCACAACTGGTAAATGTCTGAGTCCCATTGTCCGGAACAGGTTGAAGACTTGTGACACGTGAGTGTTTGGAGAGACGGCAAAGGGCGAGGGGTTCATGTACGGGGTGACATCCTAGGAACGAAAAACAATTATATTGCTTACAAGAGGCATTTTCAATCCCTCTGGGAAACACTAAACAAGTAATTCCTACAACTCCTCCCATGCACTGATCTCTGGACAGGGTACTGGACTGTGGGCATCTTCTGTTGCTCCACAAATATGAAATTAATTCTGGAACTTGATCTTGCTATAGTTTGTTTGAACACTGTAACCCATGATCTTAATAGCCCAATGCTGCAGAAAGCCTCTGAGAAGGGTAAGTGCAGATCCATGAAAATGAGAATGTGTATGAAAAAGCGCTTTGGCCTACACAGCAACCTTCCTGTCAAAGACGTGAGAGGCCTGCCACAGACTGCGCTGCCGGCACACAGAGCTCCAAACATGCAGCAGCAGTTTGCCTGCCTGATCTCACTCAGGCAGGACTCTAAGTCTGTCTTTACCAGCACTGTTGGGCCCCAGGCCTTGGCAACAAAAAGGAGCTGGGAAGCCTGCCATATGAGAAAAGACAGAGAACTGGGTTTGTTCAGCCTTGAGATGAGAAGGCTCAGGGGAGACCTTATGAGCATGTTCCAGTATTTAAAGGGTGGCTACAAAGAAGATGGAGACTCCCTTTTCACAAGGAGTCACATGGAAAAGATGAGGGGTAATGGGTACAAGTGACTCCTGGGGAGACTCTGATTGGACAAAAGAGGAAAAGTCTTCACAATGAGAACAGTCAGCCATTGGAATAATCTTCGCAGTGAAGTGGTGGATTCCTCAACATTGGACGCTTTAAAGATTCAGCGGGACAGGGTGCTAGGCCATCTTGTCTAGGACCAGGCTTTTGCCAAGAAAAGGTTGGACCAGATGATCCCTGAGGTCCCTTCCAACCTGGTATTTTATGCTTCTAGGATGATTCTAATTTAGAAGGAATACAAACTAGACAGGCAATGTCTTATTCTGAAAGTAAAGTACGTGTGTGCAACGTTACCTTACAGCAGGTATGAGGATTGATTTCCACATGCAGACAAGGTTGACAATGCATGAGAAGTACAGAATGTTGGTCCCAGGGTGGATTTAAATATGCTCTCAGCTTCTTTTCAAAGGCTTGGACAGTCAAATATGTATAAGGAAACACTGTCAGACTGCACTGGATCTCTTACCACTATCATGCGAGGGTTCAGCAACGTGAGGTCCAGGTCATGGATATCTGGATAGCGGGGGTAATCCTCCGACATCTCTGCATGGGACAGACGAGGCTGACTTGCACTCTGCAATTAAAACAAATCCCACCGACCTGATGTGTCACCATCCCAGATAGCACATGGGCTGCAAGTAGCACAGCAAACGATGCCTCCCAACTGCTCGCCCAGCATGCTTCTCCTCCCATACCTGCACACACAACTTGTGCAGAGTACTAGCTGCTCATCTCAGAACGCAGCAGTAGCCCAAACCTACACAGGCATTTAGCTGAGAGCAATGGATCTGCTCTCCAGCCTCTGACACATCTAACTCAACACTGGGGGGCAGCAAACAATCAGCTCTGGAGAAGAGAGGCCTCAAACACAAATACTAATACTGATCTCAGTGATTCTTGGCACACAGCAGTATAAAACAAACAGTACACACTGCTGGTTGCTCTATTTGTATTTAACATCTGCCTCCTATCCTCCAGCTCTGACAGGACTGCACCTTTATGCAACAACAGGTGTCTTGGTTTATTTTTTAAACAGCAGCTATCCTCTTTTGCTGGGTATGCTTAAACAGAAATTAAGTTCTCTTCATTCTAGAGCTGAAAGGGAGAATTCGTATTATCCATCTGCAGCTTTTAAAACACAGAGCAGTCCTTAAAGCATAAAACCAGGTAAATTCTTCCTGGCAGCCCACGAATATTATTCCCAGCCTTCTCAGTCAAGAGGGTAGGGGTGTCTCTACTACAGTCTCTGATTAGGAAGACTCACCGACTGGCTCTCGGAGTAACAAACACCCCTGACAAGGAGGGTGACGAGCTGTGAGCGCAAGATCAAGCCATGGAAGGTCAGAGGTCTGAAGCGTTCCTCCATGGTCCACTCTTCACTAGGAGACTGGTCAGGGTACAGGTTGGGGTAGGGAGTATATCTGTGACACATTTAACATGTTTTAAGTTGCATGAACTTAAGGAGAGACACATACCCTCACCTCCAAAACCACAGCAGCTATTTCAGCTCTTTGCAACCTTCTCCTGAACATTTCAGGGACTCTTGCTAGGGACAAGCAAGTATTTTCTCCATCAAACAAAACAGCAAAGAGGGGTCAAAAGCCATTACCATGGGCAGAGTATGACAACAGCAGTAGAATGGAGAGAGTCCCCTAACCCTCGATTTCAAATCACTTGCTACTAAAGCAATTTTCAGTGCCAAATTATTCAGATTCTACTAAAACCTGAAGCATTCAGCAAAGCATCTGTGTTAGGACTCCACTCAAAGTCACAATCACTAGGTCAGAAGTTGATTCACTAAACTGGGCTTCTGCTTGGAAGCAACTCCAACACAAGTTTGGTGACTCAGCCCATTTACCAGAAAGGTGGTATCAGTATTATGGCACCAAGCCATTAGCTCCTCTCTTGGGAGAAGCGAGCTTTGGAGAGCCCTCAGGTTTTTGCAGACAAGAGAGCATCGATTTCTACAGACAAGGTATTTCCCCAGGTGTTCCATCCTCTCCAGGAAATATTTCTGGACAGGTGTTTGAAGGACATTTAAGTTAACACGTTGGACACCATCAAGCCATCAGCCGAGGACTCAGTCATGTGTGTGAGCCCCAGCGCTGGCTGATGAATCCTGACAAGTCACTTCTAAAATGTGGACACTGGCACTGTTTCCTTTGTTGTAGGGAATGCAAGGGACTGTATGAACCATCACAACACATCTCAACATATGGAAACACCCCGTTTCCACACATCTGTGCCTCCCAGGATCTCACCTTCTCTCTAGCATCTGTTGGAGCAGATCCTCCTTTTCTGGCGGCTCCTCTGTTGCTATGTGCTCATCACACATGTTACGCAGTTCACTTGAGGGGTAGGATTTCATGGACTGACTACGCTTGCGCTGCTCTCCGGCTCTGGTGAGGATGCTAGATTTCTGGATACCACAAACGATATGCATATACCCACTGAGCAGGTCAATCCAAGAGCAACTCATCCATAGCTTTATGTCACCAGAGAAGGTGTTCCTTAGTGCTGCTGCAGTACTTGCAGGAATACCCAATAGGACTGTGCTTTCCCTGGACAAGGAACCTGGAAATCAGGAACTCAGGACCCTTTTTTGCTAGAGCCTGAATATGATGCAAGCACGTTCATTATTCATTCTGGCCTTAAATTTTAAGTTTCCCAAGAGACTACGGCATCTGCCCCACTACATCTCCTACAAATGAGAGAAGTTATTTCGGCACCTGACTAAACTACTGATCTCAGTGGTGGGCTCAGTACTTCAGTGCCAAATAAACTTTTTCCATGCCTATCCTAAACAAGTTACTTAGTCCTCTTAACTTCTGCTTGTAGGAATGCAGCCTACTCTTCTGCCTTTACCCTGACACAGAGAATGGAATGAAACTGAGTCCCTGAAAATTCTGTCTTGCAGTAGGTGCTTATGTCTGACCTGAATTCTCCACTGACAAAAGCCTACATAACAAAAGCAAGGGCCTTCCACCTGTAAACAAAGCTCTTCACCCTTCAACTTCTCAAACAAGCGATTTCTTACCTTGAATTTGATGTTGTTACTTATCAGCTGGTTTCCCTTCATGAACTCCCTCTCATTGCCTCGGTTCTCAGTCACAACAGGGAAGGCATGATGGACAGTTGTGCGCAGGATGCTAACAAGGGACTGGATCCTGGTGTGTGGGTAGACATATGTCAAGTTGGGTTCCATGATATCGCTGGCTCGTAGTCTGAGGAAAGAGAAATCCATGCATCATGTCAGTGACAGAAGGCTGGTGATGGACTAACAGGGAAACAAACCAGTCCCAAAATGAGATCCTGAAGGACTCTGCTGCAGTTTAGTTCTGCCAGCTCTGTGTACCCATGTGTTCACCTTCACAGCGTTATTAGCGGTGCTGGCACAATTGATTTGTTTTCTTTTTTACTATCACATTGCACCAGTGATGCACTGTTGGCAAGGAAAAAGGTTCCAACTTGTAACATAGAAAGTGTTTAAATACTACTGGGAAAAGACAACAGGGAAGAAGATGAAGCCAAGTCTGGTGGAACATTTTCACAGAGTTCTTGCTGAACCTCGCAAATCTGCTCCTCAGTTCTCCACCCATACACTCCTCCTCATCCAGCATCTCTTTCCTGCTATAGGCCCGATGCACAACTCCCAACTCCTTTCACAGCAGTCCTCATCACAGCTGCTCTGCTGAGAGCAGCCATGTTTGTAGGAGATGAAGCATCATCCTCCAGCATTACAGCATTCCTTTCTCAGCAAGAACCCTATCACAAACCCCAACCCGCAGCCTTTCCAAGAGGAGCAGCCTTACTTATCCATTTCCACCTCTGTTTCCCACTCCAGAAGAGGCACTCCCCGCAAATTCACATGGATGTCATAGATGCCTTTGTTGAAGAAGTCTCCTGTCCATTTGGCTACCTGCAGAGCAAACAGGGTCTACTGAGTTGGTGCTCCAAGTACAAGACCCCTTGACTTACCACAGCCCTGGGAGGAACAGATTGAATCTGCCAGCACATGTGCAAGCAGCCCGCAGGAAACCAGAGCTAAGACCCAGCACTCACCATGAGGGTGATCATTATTGGGAGCCCATAGGTGATCTCGTTGGTGGATTCAATTAGGATGACAGTCAGGCTAATTGTCATGCGGACCACTCCTCCCAGGAATGCTGCTGCCCCGATGAGTGCAAAGGTTCCTGAGTAGATGTGATCCAGGCCAATGTAGCTAGTGCAAAACACAGAACGCGGATATCAGAATGACCTGACAGAGCTCGGCATGCGTCTGCAGCACATCTCGCACACGTACGCGCACTCAATGCACCTTTTGAGGAGGTTGGCGACCAGGCGTCCGAAGGCAGCCCCACAAAGCAGTGATGGCACAAAAAGGCCACTGGGCACAGAGATCCCGTACGTCCAGCAGGAGAGTAAGAAATAGAGAAGGAAGAACAAGGACAGTGTGACTGGGCTGAAAGTACCTGCAACACAAGAAGAATCATGACTAAAGGGGCACAGGTCTGTCAAAGACAACAGTCTTGCACCATCCACCCCTCAGCTCACAGCAGTCTCACCTCACAACAGCTACTTAACTCCTAGTCCAAACACACAGGAAAACAATGAGTAAATGAAAAAGAGAGGAAAAGCAGGCCTTTCTTCCCATGAAGGAGGCTTTCACCTGTTGTACTAGCAGCCACCCAGAGCCATAAAGGCCTGAAGATGTTCTTAGCCTTGTGGTTCTTACGACAAGGCTGTTTCAAGCAAGATGAAGCTCTGAAGACAAAGCATGGGATGGGGCACCATCTCCTAGCTACTCACCGTCCTGGTGGAAGAGCTGCAAAATAGCTGACTCCTGAGGGTTGAAGAAGAGTGTGGCCATGTCATTGTAGGTTTCATTTGGGCAGAAAAAAGTTTTGATGCTTGAATTCACATCCTCTGACATACCCTAATGCAGGACACAGACACAAACAGTTAAAATCCACTCTCTCCAACACTAGCCTTTGGGCAGAACGGATGTAGCCCTTCTGGATAGGGCTGCCAGCCCACACTTTGGGAAGTTCAGATCAAACATCAATAGCCGAGATGGGCCTGCAACATCAGCGGGTTCCCCAGTTCACAGCCTGAGCTGCTTCACCAAAGTATGGAAGCACAAAGGGCAGTTTTCATTATTACCCTAAGCTCCTGCAACTGTTCACAGGCTCCCACTGAAGTTCTGTTATGTCCTGCATGTGTGAAAAGCTCTTTGTGTGCCTCTGCTTCTCCGGAGGGTGAACAATATGATGGGGACATACAATCTTCACGTAAGATCCCTCACCTGCAGGCTCAGAGTGTCATTGCCATGATGACTGGTAGAAGACATCTGCCGACATTCCCCCAGAACCATGGAGGCTACAAAGACCACGACCGTGGTAGTCAACGACACCAGCAGGCTCTCCAAGACTCTGCAAATATAAAACAGAAACCACACACTGAAGTCAGACTCAGCCCTGAAACCCAGTCCCAGCTCTGCACGATGTTCCTAAGGTTTCAAGAAGGAGTTACCACAGCTTAACACCAGAAGCAAGGGACTCTGCAAGTCAAGCTAAATTATGACCTGGTTGCCAGGGATTGCATTATCTGCCCTTTTTAATTGCCTGCCCCAAAAAGGAGCTATTTCTGCCCAGAGAACACATAGCAGTCACATACAAAAAGTTACAAGGAAGGGTCCACTGATGAGGCTGTTCACATGGAAACAATGTTCTGTAGATCCTTACAGGGCAAAAGTCTAGACAGGACTGGACAGGTTGATGCATAGTCTCTCATATCTCCTTTCTAACTGCTAAAAATAATAATAATAAAAAAAACCCCTACACTTCTTATTTAGGAATTATCTAGAGCAAACAAACAGATATTTTCCAGAATTACATGGCAATTCCCTCTCTAAATAGCACAAGTATTAGCTCATTTGTGGATTTAATTAACCAAGATAATTACTACCAAAAAAAAAAAAAAGAGTGGAATCAGCTATTACTTCCACATCTATTTGGACAAGACATAAAAACATACTACACGGAGACAAAGCTCTGGTTTGTTCAGCTGTAGTCTTTATAATAAAGAGCTCCCTTCAGAGCGCTTGTAAGAAGTGGGTGCAGCTCTCTGTACCACCCGAGTAATTACAAAAATGCAGAGGGACTGTGACATCTGGTTTCTGGTGTCCACTTTTAAGTTCTATGAAGGCTTCATTTTGTGATTTCAAAAAGAACATATCTGGGATTTCCTCCAATCCCACACGCTGGGTCTTCTAGATCGATGCTTTTTCTTTGGGACACTGAACACAATCAGAGATCACTGTACAAACCCCAGAGAGCACAAATACCTGACCAGCTTTGGCTTGGGATGCACGTTCCGCATGCGGTACTTTGCAAGTCTCTTGTTCAGGCAGTTGAAGGTGGCTCCGAGAAGGCCCCCTACAATCCCCATCAGAATGAAGAAGCCCAAGTCCACAGCTGTCCAGAGGTGGCATTTCTTATCAGACTCAGAGCACTATGTGCAGAAAAGCATAAAAATAAGCATTACAGTAGTTTCTGCCATTTCCTACCAACCTTTCTCCATACCAGGAGACTTACAGCAGCTATGAGCAAAGGGAAAAAATTCTATCTTAAGCTATCAATGTATTGCAACTAAATATCAATTGCCCTTTGCTGAAATACAAGCAGGTATCAAAAAAAATCCAAAAGAAACACTGAACTGACAAGAGACCGGAGGAAGAGTGGAAAGTAACACTAAATATTACCTTAAACTCCCCAAAGTTCAGCAGCCCAGGGAGCTGGAAAGACCCCCAACTTCCAAACTGAATCCCAGAGCGGAAAAAATTCAGGGTGAAGGTGGCAGCCATGGAACAGAAAAGCTGTGGAAGTAAAAAAGAAAAAAGGAAAAAAATAAACAGTCTCAAAATGAAGATTGGCAGTCACCTCATCACCTCATCACCTCTGAATTTAGGAGTTACACCTAGTAATTCTCACAGCAAAAGCTCCTTTTTTTTTTTGTCAAAGATGCAAATTTGCAGTTGCAAATCAATTAAAGGCACTATATCAGCTTGTTTAGAGTTGGAATTGAGGTCTTCATTGGCTCTAAGCGTTGCTACCTTGCCAAATTCCTGGCTCCTTTTAACCCCGCTTAGAAAGAGCGGAGTAACTGAATCCCATCAACAGGACATGTGGCATAAGAAATATCAAAAGCATCATGACACCCAATACATTTTTAAAATTATGTCAACTTCAGGAAAGGCACTAGAGGCAGAAAAATCAGCAACCTGAACACACAGGGCATTGCTGCAACACAGCTCCCCAAGGCAGAGAAAAGCAGAAAGAAATCCAACACCTGCCTACTCTGCCTGTTCCCAAAGGGTCAGCTGCAAAGAGCCCAGGCACAAAGTCCTCTCTCCCAGGTACACCGAATCTGCTGCCCGCAGAGTTGTCCTGTTGTTCCAGATAGTACTAGACTCATCTCTGCTCTTGATCCGTAGGAATCTTGGAGCACTGATAGAGCAGGCAATCTCTCTCCTGCCAGGATAATCTGAATGCCCTCACGGACAAACCCTTCCAAGGTCCAGCTCAAGGAAAAGATACACAGCAAGAGCCGAAGTTATGACTCACCACTTTCCATGTAAGTCCCTGGTTCCAGAAGGAAGAACCTTCTTCCAAGCTGAAGAGAGTACCCCCAATTGGGGCTCCAAAGGCGGCCGCAACCCCTGCAGCAGCTCCAGCAGACACAAAGTCCCTTTTATCCCTGAAATGAAGAGGAAACCAGTGTGAGTTTAGCAAAGCAGAGCTCTGGAGACGCTTAGGTTCTGCAAAGAAATGGACCATTCCCATTTTTGGATATATCCCAGGCATACAGGAGCAACATCTCGAAGAAGTGCTGGCCACAGCAGACAACACCATTTATTCAGTAACTTGTTGCATCATCATGCTCTTTCTCTAGAGCACCAACAAAGAGCAAATCTCTGTGGCCCTACACAACTGCCCAGTACATGAGGAACCATCTCAAAACATGGGGCTCCAGCATCACTTAGAAAGGGCAAGATTTTGTGCACATTCAGGTGGGCCAGATATGCTTCTCTGGAGCATATCTTGGTCATAAGGGGTGAGTAACTGGGCTTGCTCCCAACAATTAAGGCATTTAGCCGTTAGGATTAAAGATTTTAAACGGGTAGAGATTTGTTGAGTAGCAAAAGAGAACATCAGCGAACATGAAGACATGGAGAGCAGAGCAATGTGGAAAAGAGTTAAGTCCTGGCGTTTTCCTGCTGCAGAACAAGACTGCAGGACACTAAGGAGAAACAGAAAACCCAACTGATTCATCCCAGCCCGCCACCCTTCTCCCAAGAAAGTCTGCTCCCTCATCCGCCTCTCCCCTCCTCCACACTGCGGGTACAGTACCTGTCACTGCGGAAATAGGGAAAGTTAAATCGTATCTTCCTCAAAGAGATGCTCTGGAACTACAAACAAAATAAAGGTTTAGAACACAGGAGATGGAGACTTATTCCTCACAGGACTCAGTGGTGTGACCAGGCCAGCGACCCAGGCCAGCACTAACCTGTGGCAAACCCGCACCAACGACGGCACCACTGTGAATCATTGGACCCTCCTTCCCGACAAAAAGACCTGGAAAAACAGGACTGATGAGGCAACACACTCCCCCCTCTCTCCCTTGCTGACAATGCTAAGAGATCAGCGCAGTACTCCCAGGCCATAGCACAGTCCCCTGTGCCAACTCTCTCCCCTCAAGGTGAAGGAAGGTGCTGTCTGTCCCCTGTCCCCTTAAGCCCCCAAAATGTTTGTGGAGACTTGCACAGACTTTACACTCCATGAGGACGGAACAGAGACAGCTATTACAAGGACTCTGAACTCTCCAAGTTACTCTGTCCTGCTGCCTAGAACACAACCTCCTTTGGGCTGCTCTAGACAATGTGTTCTGGGGAATTCCCAGGTCTCCCTCTTGGACTGAGCCATAAAGAGCCAATTCTGACTAGCCCACCCAGAAAAGTAGCTGTTCCTCCAATAGTCCTGATCCTCCTGTCTATTCTATACTCTATATATGCACTCAGGGCTCATGACTCAGCTCCAGGCCATTAACATCATTTTACTGGAAAGGCAGGAAAAACCTTTTGTGCCCTATGTACTGCTTGGACAGCATTTTTGCTCCTTCAGTGATTCCTTATCCCATCAATACACCACAGCCCTTCTTACCTCCTGCCACACTGAAGAGCACTCCCATAGCTTTGCATACCACCGTCCGGAGACGCACAACTCCTGGAACCTTCACCCCGTTGAGGTAGCACTTAATTTCAGGAATTCCTGATCCAGCTGCTACAGGCTGCAGAAAAGAAACACTGATGCTGTGCTGCATTGATTTCAGAGCTGACCAACAACATCTCATCAAAGAGCACAGCAAGGGACCAAGAGATTCTGCTTAGCTAAATAAATTAGCACTGTGAAACTAGTTTGGTATCTTGGGGCTGAAGGTGCTTCTGGCAAGAAGGAAACTTCATATCTAGGACTCATGTGAGAGGAAAGAGAGGCTGTGTAAGGAGAAGCAGTGCACCTAAGTCTTACTTGGATCAGGACCAGAAGACTGGCAAGAAAAACAAAGGTCAGGTTGAACCCCAGCAGCTCCAGCAAGGACAGGGCAAGGCAACCTTTCTCAGTGCATTCTTCCACCGCTGCAGGGGACGGTCAAGGAAAACACAATCATTCAGTACTGCCTGGGGGTCCCACTGCTATCAGGCACCAGGCAGCTGGATGGACACAACATGGGAGCCAAGCTTCCTTTCCAGAGCTCAAGATTGAGCTAGAAGGAAGGGAAAACACTTATTCTTTCACGGATCAGCCTTTGCCAATATACATGATACTAGAACGGTTTCTTGGTTTCAAGAACTGAATTACATAGGCAAGTCAAAAACTTGATTAATCATCAACAACATGACTGATAGTTGAAGTCTGAGAGTCAGCTGCTCTGAGCAAAACACGGCAACAGAAAGGAAAAGGTCACTTGAGTCTAACAGGAACCCATACGCTAGGTAAAAGATACAGCTTTGTACCACCCGGAATTTGAGCTGGGTAAAGAGCCGTACGAAGAAATCCACGAAGAGGCCCACCTATGACAAAGAAGACAGATCCGCCATCAGAAATTAACACATACAAGTCACAAAGACCACTTTCTAGTAAGTCCTACCAGACGTATGCACGCATGGGAGGACAGAGGATGAAAAAGGCAAAAGAAGTGCTGTTTAGAATAAAGTAACTTCAGAAGCTCAGATTTGCTGCCTCCCTCGTTCTCACTGGGACAGATCCATCCCAGAATTATTCCTGAAGAGTACTAATCTGGTGGCATTTTTAACACCCACAACATACTTCAGGGTACAGAAGAAAGCTGGTGTTTCACTGAAGCATGCAGTCAGCAAAACTGATTTTCAAACACTCTAGAAAGCACGTGCAGTAAAGCATCAAAACAAGCATCAAAAAATACAGTTCAACTGTACGCTGCCATCCTTTTTTATTAAGTGCTCAGTTTGGACAAGTTTTCTTGCATGCAGAATTAAAGGAATTTGCCAGAATACTTTGCAAAGAAATCACAACAAAATCTGAAAGAAAAAAAGGCTTCCTGGAAAATAATCTAGCAGCAACGTGCTACAATTTCCGAAAGACAACTCTAGCTACTAAGATCTCCACTTTGTGAAAGAGAACGGTTCCTCCTCTTTACTCCTCAGCCACTGACTTCTAAATTATTCCTGCTTAGTCTCCTGAATTTTCCTCATTCCCCAGCAGCACGACCCTTACCAGTCCTGTGCAGACTCCAATAGCAAAAACCATCACCCACTTCACTGCTTCGTATCTCTGGGCTTTCTGTTTAGAAAGAGGATTTAAAAAAAAAAAAAAAAATCCAGGTCAAAGCAACATAGAAATGTGGACCAGAAAACAGCAGTTTTGGGCTCCACACCTCAATTACAGCTAGAGTGATAAATCGACAACAGATGGCGACAACAGCAAAGTGAAAATAGGGAACTGAAAGTGCTGAACATCTCACTCACTTTAAACATGGGGGTCAGAACAGATGCTGGGAGCTATCATCTCCACACACATTTTTATTCTTTTCATAGAGAAACCAAGAGAGCACATACAATTTCTTTCATGAAGAAGGAAAAAAACCACAAAACTTTCCACAGTGGAGCATATTTAGGTTCACAGAATGGTTTGAATTGGAAGGGACCTTTAAAGATCATCTAGTCCAACCCCCTTGCCATGCGCAGCATCCTTCACTAGATCAGGATGCTTAAAGCCCCATTCAACTTGACCTTCAACACTTCCAATGACGGAGCATCCACAACATCTCTGGGCAAATTTCTCTTGGCAATTTCCACAGTTTCAGCTCTCGAGCTAATGAAAAGAAAGAACAAAGTCCTACCTTGTTGTCCATGCTCTCCAAAACTTCCAAGTATGGGTCATTGATGCAGCGATCATAATCCAAACTCTGTAAGAATGCCAAAAGGTCAATTTAGGAGAATCAGCTGCAACACATTGTGGGAAAAAAACCTGAGAGAAGACCTTATTAGAGATTACAGAAGTCATTACTAACACATTACAAAACCACAGTAGGTTTTGCAAACAAAAGTAGAAGAAAAATACTCCTGGAAACAACTTGATTTAAATATTTCCAGCAGAGCCAGACCCTGAGAATCAGGAAGTGAAAGAACAGACCAGCTTCACCGCTCAAGCTGAGACTGGGAACCAAACAGGAACACAAGTGATTAATACAGCTTTAAATTAAAGAAGTCACATCGTACAGATCTAAACCGTACTTCTTTCAGTGTCTCCAATTTGACAGCGCAGGGGATAACATCAGATCTTTATATTTAACCTCTCACTACAACAGGAATGCTAGATAGGAATTCCTCTCCAGGTGAACAGCATCAATTCTTAAGCTTATCACAGCAGGAAGTTAAAACCGATAGAGTTGCCCAGTCATTCTCACAACGTACCACTAGCTTCTATCTGCATCAACTTCACCTTTTCAAGCCAGGCAGTAACAAGCTGAGCTGGTGACACACATGCTGACAGCAGCTGCTCTAGATAGCTCAGGACCACTATACAAACATGCAAAAAGCAAAAATTTCCTGTAAGCAGCAGGATCTGATAGAGGGTAAGGCTGCTGTGAGCAAGCATGACATCAGAGACAGCAGTAAGGCAACAGTGACCGTGCATCTACAGATGTTTTCTACAGTCATGAAGAAACAAGACAATTAGAGCCTGTAAATCTCACACTAAAAAAGTGGAACAATGCAGCAGACTGAAATGAATTTTCTCAACAAGAGTCTGACTTAAGCAGCAAATCAAGTTCAAGCTCTACTCACAGGGGTTTAACCCAGAAATGTATAATGATGAGGAGCAGTTCTTTGCAAGTGCAGCAACCCTGGGTATTCCGCCTGGTGCCAATGCAATTTAACTAGTGATGCATTCCGAGTACAAACTCGAGCAGATTAAGAACTGCCTGCAGTTCTTTTCACATTAATTCCACAAGGTGCCGTCAGTTAATTTCCCACCTCATAATCTTTGCGTGGAAGTATCTCATCCTCCTCTTCATGAGTTTCTCCTAGGATTGTCTGCAAAAGAAACAAGTGTTGGAAAGGAAAATAATGCTCATGAGTATTGGTAGCAAAGACAAAATTAGGGACCGCTTATGCCACTACTGCTTTCAAAGCTAGAATATGGCTTACCAGCCCAGCATTTACTCTGGGGT